TCAGTTTATATACTTGTAATCAATTTAAATCATGAATTCATCAATAAATCAATTTTACATTCATTTTAACATTTAAATGCAAAGTGTGAGCATTTAATTGTCATTCAATATAATTGTGAATATAATGATGTGATTGGCCTTCAATTAGTGGCCAAATTACTATCAAAAGCAAATCTAATCCAATTAACATCACTATAGCTATGATAAGGCATTTAATCGCTATTATTTACAAAACTGATTGTGTAGTGGAAAGAGGGTTGGGGTCAGAGGTTAGGGTCAGAAGTTGGGCTTAAAGTGTGATGTGTTTTGCATACAATTGAACCACAGATTGAGCCCTAATTGTGGTTAACATTTGGTTTTCCCCAATCGATGGCAACATTTCAATGAGAAATGCAGTGAATGTGATGTAAAGTCACGTGACTTTGCGTTTGAGAGTAGAGTTGCGTTCAAAACAAAACACAACACAAAACAAGACATCGATTTGAAGACACGGTCTGTTTGGATGCGATTAGTGGTGACCATCGGATCCAACGATAGTAATGTCGTTTCAAATGCCGACTCAACGACAGGAACAGCAGAGGAATAAAATACTGGAAGACCTGCAGAAGAAGCAACAGCTCCTCAAACAGCAGTCAATTAGCGGCCAGTCGTCGACAGGAGTGGCGATGGCCTCCAACTCGTCCGCAACGCCGACGCCGTCGTCGACCACCGGTCCGGCCGTCGGACAGACCACTGCCGCCGCACTCGACACGGCCTCCACTTCGGGGCCGATCTCCTCCTCCCAGAGATCGGCTCTAAATCACGCAAACAATAACTCTTTCGGTTTCTTTATACCACAAGACTCTTCCTTTGGAAACCTTATTCTTCCAGTTTTACCACGTTTTTGACATCAATACTCATAAGACGATCATTTGTTGTGACATTAAATTTCGTATTTTAATCATTTAAAGACAATAAATAGTTATTTTAGTTAAGTTTGAGATGAAAACAATTACTTTTCCGTTAAGTGTTTGGGATATTATTAACCGCCGGCTTATGTCCTCATTTGGCTAATAATTGGATCAATTGTTGCGATGATTACCAATCGGTTTGAATTTGAATCGATTTGGAAATAAAATGTGATTTAAATATAAAACATATTTACAAGAAATGACAGAAAATATTTTTATTTAATGACAAATACTATATAAAAATACAAAATGAAATTTACTTAAAAATGTAATTAATTTGATAAACAATTATAGATTTTCATTAAAACACTGATAAAATTGTTTAGTAATAAAATATTTTATGGAAAGTAATAGTTTAGAGCATTGACTGCACTGTAGTTGTGATGGGAGGGTATGTGAAGGGCGAGAGATGACCGCAATTAAGCTTAATATTGCAATAGGCCTGACATGTCGGTCCTCTTAGTTCCAGTCGATTCATGTGAACAGTTTTGGCTCTCATTTCTTCCAACGATTGAGGAAAGTCTGGAATCGGTTTCTTCCCAATTAAGTCCGGATCTGACGGATAGCTATCGTCTCCTATCGTAACAACAAATTAGTTTTAAAATCAGTCCTTAAAACACGTCAAGTATTTTATAGTTAAAACCATTCATTTAATTAGAATGACCAGAAGTGAAGTTACCCACAATTGTTGTATTTTTATACAACTGATCAAACTATTCAATTGTTCCATCAAATATCAACATTTTAAATACAATGTATGAGTCAATTGTGATATAACTATACGGTATTTGGGAAAAAGTTATGCAAAACCATTTTAATGTGAATTTCATATAATTATATTTTATATAATTCTCTCATATCGTGTTTATATTCCGGGAATTTTATGTTTTATTAACAAATATTGCAAAATATAAAACTGAAACCACTTGAAGGATAACTTAATTCAGATTTCATGAAATGATTTAAAATATTGAAACAATGGGAATAACGTATAGAAAATTAATAGATAGTAATAATGATGGGAACAAACCGGGTAATAATGAAATGGCTCCATCATTGTATGTCGATATGACCGGAAGCCAGCGTTCAATACCCAGTGATTGTCTTTTAAGAGCAAAGTCTTTGACGGCATTAAAATTTGGCAAATTATGGATCCGCGAGAGTTCGTAGACTTGTGGCGGCGCTAAGAATACCCGCTCCTGACTGTGCTCTTCCAACATCTCTACGGGAGTGCACCACTTATTGCCACAAATATACAGAGATTAGCATTTATTACATTTCAAATTAAAGCTATTTTACACATTTATATATACCTTGAGATTTGTCACTTCAGAGTTATCGATAACTACTTTGGGCTCACTTTCGAGGCAACAGATGTAAAAGAAAGCGTCAAATCTTTTGTGACCGACGCTTATCGGTGTCAACCAATCGGACCACTCGTACAGCGACCACAAATCAGGACAGAGACTAGTCTCCAGACAAAGATCGAAGAAAGCGTTTGCATCGGTTCGCACTTTTTCTCTCCAATCATTTANCTCTTGTGTCCAACGCTTATCGGTGTCAACCAATCGGACCACTCGTACAGCGACCACAAATCAGGACAGAGACTAGTCTCCAGACAAAGATCGAAGAAAGCGTTTGCATCGGTTCGCACTTTTTCTCTCCAATCATTTAAATCTATATTCATATGGTTTACGTCCGAAATGGGAACCATTGGTGTTGAGTGTTGTGATAGAGAACCGATTGTTGACCCGTTTGTTAATGGCGTTTGAGTTAACAGAAGAACACCTGCGATAACCAATCAATTGATAATTTTGTTGAATAAAAATTTATGTTAATCTAAAAGTCATACCCGTTTCTTCAAATGTCTCTCTTATGGCAGCGATTCTGAGAGCGATATCCGCGTGAAGATAATCCACATTTTCAGACGCGTCGCGTTTCGCTTCGGCAACAGTGAGCGGTTCCGTAACCATCGGAGGTCTGGAGCCGACAACACACGAAGAAAACACTTCCAAATCACTTCTGGTGAGACCCAACTTCGCGAAGAGTTGCCACCATTTGGGCGAATAGTCGGCCACTTCTACTTTGCCGCCGGGAAACACATAAGCGGAGGCCATGAATGAGCTGAGACCACTTCGTTTGACCATCATTATGCGGTAATCACATGACGCCCAAAGGTTGCGCCCATTCGCTGTCGACTGAACCGATTTCGGGCCGGAATTGCGGACAACTTTGTCGGTGAGTGAAGCGCGCGATACTATGATGAGAGACGACGCCTCTTTCCAGGGAGGGTTGGCTTGCATTTTGGGGGTTTGGGTGGCGTTTATGCTGGCGGTTGGCCTCACTCTTGTAATCGCACTCGTATTCACTGTTGAAAAAATCTCAATTAATTGCTTTCAACGTCTGAATTGATTGTAAATCGACTTTATGTCAGATAATTGTTATGAAATTATTTCGAAGAAAAAATTTCACAAATATGTGTTAGAAATATGAGAAACACTTCCGTATTGTTTGTCAAAACACTTATTAATAAATAAGTGCTAATATTTCGCGCATTTAAAAGCAAATATCAGTGCATTTAAACTCAACTATGGTTTAACACATTTGATGGCATATCTGATGAATATCTTGCAGTTATGAGGTATGAAAGTAGTGTAAAAGTGTTTTGATAATCTAATTGTCTATTTAGTGACACTTTTACCAAATTTTCCAAACACTTGAAGCAAAAGCAAACTTTAAAAAATCGCCAAATTGTCAAAAAACAAGTCATACCTTTAGTATTGAATAGTTGAAAGATGTATGAAAAATGTGGATATATTTGGGTCAGAAAAAAATGTTTCCTTTGCTAATAATTGGGCACAAATACTATCAGAAAGTTTCTAAATATATTGCAATGTAAAAGTTAGCCCAAACTCTATCGCAAACCCAAACATACAGTAATGAACTCTAATATCTATACAAATACCAAAACTAGTAGTGAATTGAGAGTAAAATAATGGTTAAACTTCTTATAAAAGGGGAGAAAAGACGGCATAAGTATTGAATTGAATACAAGTCAGAGCACAGAATCCGATGCTATGAATGACATGACCTTAATATCTATTAAAAACATTTTTATAGCGTTTTGCTATTTCATCAGAAAAACAATTTTATTTTCATTTAACAGTAAATGTCATAATTTTTTAATAATGAAATTTCTATTTCACTTACAGTAATGTTTTGAGATTCGTGTGGAGATTGTATTCAAAGAGTTTTTGTGTAAAATAAAGTTTTTGGGAAATAATTCATTGCAGTGTTTGTTAACAATAAGCGAAAAGTTTTTCGTCAAAAGTCGAAAATTTCCCATTTTTTAGGTTAAATGTATGGATGAGTGAACTAAACGCTATATTCAATGTTTTATCAATTATTTTCATCAATACTTTCATTACAATTCATATACTGAAGGCGAGAGAGAAAACCATTTCACAATAACGTGGACTTTAAATCCTTTCAAATCATAAGTTTTTATTCAAAAGTTATAATTAAATTAAAATGTTTAGTTCACAAGTGATTCTCTACTGTATTGTAAAGTATTGTAAATAAACATAACATTAACAGAGAGTCTAGAGTTTTGATTGCATAATATGTTTAAAACTTCATCTATTGGTTACTCACATGTATTGGCAGTATTGCTGTGTCTTATGAGAGAAATTAAGCACTAATTTTAAAACCACACACAAAATCCGCTAATCATTTAAAACATCCACTTTTTAATCGTTTAATTTTACCAAAAACTTGCAAAACATATCATTTTTAGGTTTACTTTATATTTAGTTCTCAATCCGAGAGACTATTTGCCAGAAATAAAGTTTTTAAGAGTTTGTTCGCAAAACTCATTGCATTTTAAAATAGTGATCGTGTTTGAGGAACCGGTTTAGAGCCGACAAAATAGGTTACCATGAGTTGTGGTCCGAAGCTCTCATTTTCAGAAATAAAGTTTTTAAGAGTTTGTTCGCAAAACTCATTGCATTTTAAAATAGTGATCGTGTTTGAGGAACCGGTTTAGAGCCGACAAAATAGGTTACCATGAGTTGTGGTCCGAAGCTCTCATTTTTGGCTTAAATGCCAAATTTGGGTCAAATCTTCTGGACTTTAACTCCGATTTTCCCATTAAGTCTCGAGTTTTAAACTGTCGTTAATTGCAGAGACAATCAGTTTTGGTGATTTGTATTACAGTAAACTAGAGATGTGTTTATAGATTGTGTGCAACTTTTAAATAAGTTATTTTCTCTCATAATTAGTTGTCAAAACATTTTGTGATGAATAATTTCCGGACAAATAATGGCCGAAAATCTATTTGTAAATATATTTTGCGTTTCTTTTATAACAAAGTTATAAATTTAATTTAATTAATTTGCAAACAAATTATATACCGTAATGTAATGTAATTTTGTATTTATGCGATAACTACTGTATATTATCTATTGTATTGTATATTAAATAAAATAATTAGCCTATTATAACATTATTGCAAATAAACAAATTAACGTCAAAAATGACATTTTCCCGTATAAAAGTAATAACTCTATTATTTATAATTGTTTAAATAAACAAACATAGTTTGAAACTGAAATATTTACCGGCACTCAACTGAAACTTAACCCCTACTCAAGAGAATTAATATGAATAATACAGTAAATTATATAAATCCTTTTGATTTGTATACAATGTTCACAGATTTGTGCGATTCATTGCAAGTATTAATGTCATACAACTTTCCAATCAAATGCATATAATAATGTATTTTAAGATTTTACATAATAAATCGGTTGCATTTAAAGAGTTTATAATATTTCAATAATTTATTGATAAATTCAATGTTTGTGTGTTTGTGAGACCCCAGGCCTTCCCTAACGTAATGTAAAAATAGTTTTATTTTCGGAATGAATTGTATTTAATAAATATATTATAAATTATAATAGAAAGCAATCATTTATTTCTATAACTAAACCCATTATGAAATTATTTTAACTTTATTTTGCAATAATTAATTCTTACATAAAATTAACATTTAATAAATGAATGACAATTTATTGAGACTGCGGTGGATTATTGGGTGGATTAATTTGTTGATTATTCGGTGCATTATTTGGTAGATGTTGCTGTTGTTTGTTTGCCTCCATATAAGTATAGATCTCCCCGTAATCAACGAACCCATCGTTATTCAAATCCATTAGATTCAGCTCAGAATCCACATAATCTGTAATATATTTGTTAATTAAATGTTTATAATTTAAATTTTATGGGAAATTCAATACTCGACATGTCCTCCAATGGCGTAAATTCATAGCTGGCGTTGTGATGGACTAATGAATGTTTAACCGCTAATAAAAGTTCTGTAAATATACACAAAATTAATTTAAAATCAAGATCTCAAATCAGTACCTAATCCGTCGAGTTTGCCGTCACTATTAAAGTCGTGTAGTTTAGTGTAATAAAAGGCCGACACTTCGTTGGTTATCTGATCCGCTTCTTGCATATAAAGCAAATTGTTTGCCTCTTCTCTCAGATGGCTTTAATATGACAAAAATATCATTACATGGTAATTTAAATATTTTGAATATATCTGAATATAAATAGCTATACTTTAAATCATGCATGAAATCTATTTTTCCGTATTTCTCCCACAACGCGGCCGCCGGTGGGGTTGTCGTCACTGGTTTTGGTGGACGATCTCCCTGTCCTCCCTGTCCTACCGGTGCTCCGTATCCTCCCTGTTGTGGAGGGTGTTGTTGTTGAGGAGGCGCATGAATGTGGTCATGTGGTTGATGATTGCTGACTACATCCTGGTAATTGTGACTTTGATGCCCTCTCGCACACAAATTCGTGAATAAAATTAAGACAAAACTCGTGAGAAATAAATTTAAATACATTTTAATGAATACTATATGAAAAATTAAATATAGATACTATGGTGAATAATTCGTACAACTCATTTACAACATGCTTATTACGTGTATATCTAACAGTATATTAATTATGATTTATTTGAAAAAACAAGTGTTTATTACATACTATACTATTTTCTATAGCAAAGTGTTAAATTACATTTAATACTATTTTTGTGATAACAATTTGTGACATTCTTGTAATAAAGCAATTTAATTACAGGTAAACATTGAATATTTAACACAATAGTCAACATTTGATATTAAAAATTAATGTCTTTAAGTCATTAAACTAAATGAAGTCATTATTTTATAAATTTAAAATATCGGTAATTATTTTACATTTGAATTACTTTAATAACTAATTGGCATCTAACAAGCAAAACTTTTTTTTATGATGGTTATTATGCAATAAATGGGCCTTGGTCATAACCTTGATTATTACCATTATATTTGTATCAGTTGAGGAAATAATTAAAGTATATTACGTACAAACAAATAGTCGAAACACATCATTAGTTTGTGATTTAATAGAAATTTAAATTTAGTTATCAAACTTTTAACAACTTTTAACAACTTTTAACGTGGAAATTCTGGTTAATAAAGATATCGAGTGTTAAGTAAAGCTATTTTTAATTTAAATATTGACATTAAATTGTATATGTTTTGATGTTTTAAACCAATTTGGATTCAAAATGCAATGAAGAAATGTAAGAATAGTCAATCAAATCTATTCATTTGATTAACAATTTGTCACTTTTATAACAATTTATTAAATTTTGTAAGTTTTTGAAACATTATATATATTATAGCATTGCGTGAATGAGTGAGACATCTGTGAATGTAATGCAAAACATGATAATTGCAGTGAAAACTCGGTTCAAGTTTTGATTGCATTTTAAATTAAATTAAAAGCACTCATTGTATGAAACGATTGTCTTGTAATCAATCACTCAATTAAATAATTGGTTTGTATTTTCATTACACAGTAATTGTCAGCATATTTAGTGAGATTTGAATTATAGTTACAAATAATGAGAGTTTTTGTATTTCAAAGTTTTGCTCAAAAAATTGTTATCAGTTTTTGTAGGAAAACATTCATTTCATTGACTAATGTTTTGTTTATTTTGATTTCAAACCCAAAACCTAAACCCAAACCCAATCATCACTCGATTTGATGGCTCTGTGTGTCCGCCGCTCTCTCGCCTCCGCTTCAGTCTCTCAACTGTTGACACGATTCAGGAAAAGACCGCAAATGTCGTCGTCTTCGAGACCGTCGTCCGATTTGTCGGCCTTTCGGGAAGTGTTGAACAAAAGCCGACACATCGTTGCTCTGAC